GTGAGCCATGATCATGCCACTGCACTCCAGTATGGGCAACAGAGAGAGATCTTGTCTCTTTAAATATATATTTATATATATATATATATGTATAAAGTTTATCGAAACTAGTCGAATACCTTAAACATTCATTTATTCGCTTGGTTTTTTAATTTCTAAGTAAATACGCAAACTTCTGTTGAATTTAAAGTTAAGAAAAAGTTAAGTTGAACTTAAAGAAAAGAAAATTTTAATTAATTTTAGGTTTTGTAGATGCTTTGGGCAAAGATTTGTTAGTGGATCATTTAATTTATTTATTAAAATTCATTCTCAATTAAAGCTCTTCATTTCTAATGAAATTAGACACAAATGTCTTTCAATATTACAAGAAAAGGTTATAATTCTGGAATATATCTTTGGTGGCTTTTTGAAATCTCGCCAAGTTGGCGACTATTACTTGGAATTAAATTATTACAAATTTATTAAAATACTTTTAAAAAAATAAAATAAAAAATAATCAAAATAGATTCTCTGTAAGGTTGCAACATATTTCCCTGAAATATCTTCCAGAAAACTAGTTTGGCGAGATTTCAAAAAATTGCCCAGGAAGGGGCTTATCAAGGATCCAACCCCACCCCCAAAAAAGCTCTAACACCCTAAATCATTCTTTAAAGAAAGCAAGAAGAAAAGACAACTGAAGAAATTGTTTTATTATTAAAAAAGATGATCTGTAACGATGATGACGAAGTAAAATTGAGATTTAAGAGAGATATCACATGACCATGGGTGTCCGTTCATTGGCAGTGTTGATGTCCTGGGGTTCTTCATCGAAATGGGTGACGAGAAGTTGCACCCTCAAGTGCATGAACACTTTTCCGAATTCACGGATAAAAGTAAAATAATAGGCGAGGAACGATAGAGCCATAGCCCATTCAGCTATAGCGCTTCCCAACATCAGACCAAATCCCTGCAAAAAGTAAGAAAAGATGGAATTAAAAAGTTTAAAAAACTCAATAGATTTGTCTATAACTACAGAATGTAATGTTCAGAGGGAGGACTGACTCATTTCAAAATTCACTTTTGAATAGTTACAGAATTGTTGATACATTTCACAAAACTGTAATAGAGAAGAAGTATAATTGCGTTATATAGTGTTAATAAAGTTAATTTATGAACAATAGACCGCGTTTTCAAATTATGACATGCAGATGAAAGTTTTGAATGAAAAGCGTTCATGAAAAGCTTTCGCAAATGTCGAAACTATTGCTGTCTGAAAAACGTTCTCAAAAATAATGACGATTTGTAACTTTTTCTGATAATTAATAACCTTTTTAATTTGTAGTCAGATTTTACATGTTATTTTACAAGATTAGTATACCGTGTATGTTTTTGTATTTTCTATCATATTAGTCATCAGAATTAGATAATTTTTTTTCACATTTATATTAATTTTTAACTCCTAATATATATTTTGTTATTTCTGTTTTTAAAGTTTTAAAAATGTATGTTTTTTTTTTTTTTTTTTTTTTTTTTTTTTTTTTTTTTTTTGTAAAAACCTGCTTAAAGAGGAAAAAATAATCACAAACCGTTGATTTTTAGTAATTATTTTTCTTTAAATCTGTTAAAGAGAACCTTGAAAGCTATGCGTTATTTTTTTGTATTAAATTACACTAATTTTTGTTCCATTTCAGTATATATATATATATGGGTCATTCTCACGAAAACTGTCATTTTTCAGTTCATAAAATCCCAAAAAAGTAAAGTGAATAAAAAGCTCTGAAACTTTTTATATTAATAGAAATATGTAATGGCATTATAAAGAAAGTATATATCCTATAAATTATACTTAATATTTAAATTAATTAATTTTTTAAATAATTAATTTATAATTAATTAATTTATAATAATTAATAATTAATTAATTAATTTAATAAATAAATTAATTAATTTAATAAATTAATTTATTAATTTTTTAATTTATTTTTCAAATTAATTAATAAGTAAATTAATTATTTTCACTATTTAAAAAGTGAGGGAATGACACTAATAGTGAGGGAATGATATTTTATTTTAATACATGTTTTTATCTAAGTTACATCTACCTAAAGTTTGAAAATGATAACATACTAAGTATATCTAATATTTATTATAATTTAGTCTTATATATTTAATAGTTTTTACAGGTTTGGGAAATAAAATTGGCTGGCACGATTGAACAAAAAAAAATTTAATAATATACTCATCTTGAATCATTCCCTCACTTCAGCGTCATTCCCTCACTTTATACACTAGTGAGGGAATGACGAATTCAATAAAATTTAAAAATAACAGTTAGGCCTAATTAATTTCTGAAGTCAATCACATACAATTATATTCATACAAGAAAGCAACATATAATTATCCACTTTCTCGATGAAGTTGTATTTTATTTTACTCTAAAAAATGACATGAGGGAATGACAAATGTAAAAAATTTTACCTGGTTTGATTCATTCAAATTTATTCCACAGCAAAGCTTCTTTAAGTTGAAGATGGAAACATACTGCAATTTTGTTCTATGATGCCAGTTGTTAACTTCTGAAGTTTTTATTAAAATATTTTTATTCTAAGAAGATTGCAGGTGATAAGAACATTGTTGTGAGGGAATGACGCGAAACACTGGGGACAAAGTTTAAAATAGTGCTGTGTTAATATTTTTATCAGAAATTAAATATAAAATTGATTTTCTGAATGCTATATTTCAGTATTCTGAAATAAAAAACACGAATTTGTAAAAAAAAGAAATTTTATTTCAGAAAATTTTTTTTTTCTTTTTTTAAATCAGCAGTGGGGACAAGTGATTTTAATTACCTAAAATAAATAAAAAATAAAAATTGATAATTTTATTTTTATTCTTTTGTTAGCTTGCATTCCGAAGGACACTTTCCCTGAAATTTCTTTTTTCGTAAACTGTAAAACAAACATAAAATATACTGGGGACATGAAAATGACTGTTTTTGTGAGAATGACCCATATATATCCACAGTATTCCCGTCTTGCTCAGCTAATTTTGGCAACAAAATAAAATGTTTTTTTTTTTTTTTTTGTTCTTTGGAAATAATAAATTTAACAAAAATTAATTTTATAATTAATTTTATGAGATTAACGGGGAAACTCATAAAAAAATCCTAATCTTCTTTAGTTACCGAACATAAAAAGCATAGCAGAATTCATAACCAATCTTACACTTTTTCGCTATTTAACTAGCCTTAACTAAAAATCAATGATGCTATTACTTTCTATCCAAATCAGTCCATTAAATCTTCTGTTTAGTAGTCTCTACGTAAAATGCCAGATAAAAAGAATGTTTGGAACCCGCTGGGGGGGGGGGGTTGATTGTTTGTGACGTAGGACTAACCTTCTCTGATTTGCATTAGGCATGACATCAGGTGCGCAACGTCACAAGAGGAGGGAAAACTTTAAATTTTTTTTTTACCACCGTTTCCCAAATCTGTTTTCATGCTAGCATTGTCCAGTGAAGAAAACTTCGGATCAGGACTAAATTCAGGAGCGTCATGATTGGCTCTTTGCGTTACTTTCCGATTATCTTTACAAAGTAGGGTTCTTAATTTTCGGAATGGTGTATATTTGAAAAGTCTGTGAAGCCAGAGGACTGCTTTCTGTTTTTAATCTTGGAATAAATGGAGGTGAGAAGATTAAAAAATTAGGTTGACGTAAGACAAACGCTCTGCTGCAAACGATCAGTGATACCTTGTCTTAACTTACTTTATCATTCGGTACTTTACTTCCGGTCCAGTGGTCGTGATATACAGATGTCCAGTCATCAAAGGCCAAAGGTCCTATGACCAGCACTGCAATTAAAGGAGTCAAGGAAAATCACAAACACAAACATTTATACAAATAGCTAAGCTGTTTCAATTTTAAAATTTCATTCTAGGCCAAAAACAGCATTGAAGGAAACATTTTCTAGCTATACCAAAAACAGCATCGAAGGAAACATGCGATCTTCTATGAAAGCAGAAAATAAATTTTGGTTCTGATTTTGTTTTACGGATGCAGTCAGAAACACTAAGTCTGCACAACGCTTTCAGAGAATAGAGCGTTCGCCTTCCAATGAGGTAAACCGGGTTCGCCTCCCGGCGATGACTGGTCGATACGAATTCAGCATCTGGCATTCACCGACTGCAGTGCTGACGTAAAATATCATCAGTGCTAGACGGATCATGGGTTAGAGTTCCCTTGCCGCCATGCTAATCGTGGGAGGTGTTCGTGGTTTAGCTCTCCATGTAACGCAAATGCGAGTTCCAACAAAACGTCCTCCACAATGGCAAATATCTCCCAATACATAATCCAGGAGTTCCCCTGTCTTCTAAAATTACATTTTTAATTTTCCAAACCATTCGTATTTTGCTCCGTCATAATTTTGTTGAGTGCTTTATTTTATTTTATAACCGTCGTTAAACAGCTGACCCAATTTTGGGTTTATGACTACTCATGTTCAACTCCGCAGCCTCGTCATTTTAAACCCTATCCAGAAGACAGGGAAACTCCTGGATCAAGTATTGGGAGAAATTTGCCTTCGTGGAGGGCTTTTTGATGGAGCTAACTCGCATTTGTGTTACACGGAGAGCTAAACCACGAACACCTCCCACGATTAGCTTGACGGCAAGGGAACTCTAACCCATGATCCGCCTATCACTGATAATATTTTGCGTCAGCACTGCAGTCGGTGAAAGCCAGATGCTGAATTCGTATCGACCTGCCATGACTGGGATTCGAACCCGGTTCACCTCCTTGGAAGTCGAACGCTCTATCACCTGAGCCACAGCGGCTCTTGATAAGTGTTTAAAAAAAAGAAAGGAAAAATGGAAATTCCTCTTCTAGTTATTAATTTTGGGTTGAACATTAAAAAGGCATTTTTTCATGCTTTCAAAATTAAAAAAAATTCACCGATGATTTGCCCATTCGTGATTTCTTACAGTATGGTAGGATGAACCAAACTAAAGAAAAAGAAGAAAAGTCATCATATTTATATTTTTAATGTAATTTAAAAGAATCACTTTCAGAATTTACTTGCTTCTTGCTCTAAGTGAGCATCCTGTATGGGAAAAAAAGCATATTGAAGGATACATGCAATAAGAGATAGCACGCCGAGTATGGTAATCACTAAGCGTATGTAACAAATTTGTTTTCCGTTGTAATAGGGTGACATTTTGAAACTGATCCACGTCTGGAGAACGGCATATATGTTCACACCAATGAACAATGTATTCGCCCCAACATTATGAGCCTGGACAACGCTCGTCATCTGCAAAAAGATACATCTCAATATTCTTTTTTTGTAAATAGATTAGGCAATACATTTTCCCTTTCCGTTTCCATGGTTTTGTCATATGTTCTTTCTTACCTGGCATGTATATTTCAACTTCTTTTCGCTGCCATGCAAAGATTTGAGGAGACCATAGAAACGGAGAGGGGACATGTGTGGAGAGTTAAGAAATCACGCAACCTTTAAAGGTCTATTCTATTTACATAAAGTACAGTCACGCGCAAGACACACTGTATATAATGATACGCAGTAAGGAGTTGAGTAAGATGACGAACTCTATTCCGAAAATTATTTCCACCAAATTCGAAGAGCTGACCGAGCTTTCCTCAACTCCTTGGAGCTTTGGAATTCAACTTGAGGCATTTCTCTTTGGATGGAACATCTCGCGTTCATTCAATCAGACTGTGACTGCGAGTAGAAAGAGGAAAAAACAAAAGGATACTGGCTATGAGGGAGATGGCTGCTATACACGTGACTATCAACCTAATGTGACAAATGGTGAGACCATTGTAGGTGGGTGACATCTTGTAAGTGAGGAATGTCTGCAAGATGGCATAGATGACACCTCCCAAGAACAGAACGTTTGCTCCGATGCCATGGACCGTCCCGATGCTCGTCATCTACAAAAGGCTCATAGATTAAAATGGACTCGATTAGTAGTCTGAGTTTCTGCAAACAAAAATTTCCACATAAAGGGATTATATTAGATCCCTTTATAATTCAACTTCTTTTAGCGACGGAATATTTTGTACATTGAACACGTTCTTTTCAATGTAGTTGATTATTATGATTTGATCTTCAGCAAAAACACATGTAAAGTAATACTAAACCTTTTGCATTTATAAGGATTTCATACATTACTAATGTAACCACACATCGATATTTCTGAAAATTTATTGAAATGGAGTACTAAGTTAAAACAGAACAAAAGAAATCTGGAATCAATACAAGACATCTTCAGGGCCTGCATACATTCACATCTTTGTTCTGTTAAACATTTATTCACGGAAATGCTCCAAAATAAATACAAATCCCCTGACAAAGTCTTGCAATGCATATATGTTTATTTTGTTCTGTTTCAATTTATCTTCCCATTTCAATTAAGTTTTTATAAATACACGAAAATTAATTAAATAATATAATAATTTGGCTAAATTGACTAAATTTAACAAAAATAATTTCCTTTGTTATGATCCTGTAATACCTGGCCGAGTTGGAATATTATGAGTTAATATTAATGGGAGATATAGGGCCATGTATGTATGCAGTATAGTGTAGTAAAATAAAATTTAATGTCTGCAGTAAAAAGAATTGTGGAATTTTGCAAATATCGGCCGTCATTTTACGATACGACTTGTCAATTGAAAAAGTCATCAATATTTTCTTAGCAACCTAAGACTTTTAAGGATTGCTGTAGTGAGCTCAAGTATTTTTAGATCAATTAAAATAATATATTTAATAATAATAGTATTGGAATATAATAATAGTCCTGATAATAAATTTGGGCAATTACTGCTGAATTAGCCAAATTTTTATTATCTAGGCTATTTGCAATAAGCCCAGAGTAGGGAAGGCTTATTAAAAATTCACTTAAAAGGCTTTACTACAAAAAGCATAAATGAATTTCGTCTAGAAATTCTCTGAATATACTTACATTGGCCTTTAAAAGCATATAGCTCAATGTAAAAAGCCTGAATGTCTCAGGCTAATTAGAAAATAGCGAAATAATTCAAATTTTGACAAAATACCAGAGACATTTGCAAATTTTTTTTAATTTACTTACGATACAATAGATGATAGAAAAAAGAAACGTTAAGAGCTGTTTTCTAAAAGTTCTTTCGTCACACAAATTAATGAGTGCCATTTAATTCATCTCAGGCTTTAAAGAAGTGACCCCAAATTTAAAGCATGGAGAAAGTCCTAAGTTTTCTTTATAATTTAATTTCTTAATAATACATTTTTGACAAAATTTTATGTGCTTCAAGTTTCAAACAGGCTAATAAAAATGTGCAGAGAGGGAGAGTAATTTTTATTTAAACTAAAATATCTCATCAAAGGGATAATTTTTAGGCTATTTTAAATTTTGGTATTCATTTTTGTCCAATCGATTTGTTTCAGCAAGATCGTTTATATCGTACGCATTGAAAGCTAGATCTGCAAACTCGGCCGCCCCATTGAAAACTAGATAAGCAATCTCGTTCTTTTTAAAGCTAGATCAGCAAGCTCTTACTCAATGAAAGAAAGATCAGCATGCTCTTCCTCACTGAAAGTTAAATCAGCAAACTTGTCCCATCGAAAACTAGATCAGCAAGCTCGTACTCAATGAAAGCAAGATCGGCATTATCGTCCTCACTGAAAGTTAAATCAGCAAACTTGTCCCATTTAAAACTAGATCAGCAATCGCGTTCCATCGAAAACTAGATCAGCAAACTCGTACTCAATGAAAGCGAGATTAGCATGATCGCCCTCACTGAAAGCTAGATCGGCAAAATCGTACACATTGACAAATTTACTTCAAGTTTAAAAGTAATAAAAAAAATAGCTTTTTATATTTTTCTAGATGAAATAGCTCAAATCCAGCCTTAATACAAACTAAGAGTACATGTAATGGATTATGCAAACAATCAACGATTCGATATATCGTATTGGGAACACAGCATGAAGTAAAGGAAAGTGAGTGTAAGATGACGAACTCAATCACAGTTTGGGGTGTCATGGCAAGTTTGTCATCGTACCCAAAAGGATTTTGTGAAAATTTCAGTACTAAGGGCACAAATCTTTCTACCGATTAGGACGTAAATGAAGCGAGATATAGGGACTTGTGATTTTGTAAATAAACTCATTGACCCATGACTTTTCTTCATTTTTTGTCTTTATGTTTGTTTTTTTTATTATTAATGTGTCATCATATTTATAGTGTAATCTGTGCCTTTTTCACTAACTTTTCTTAAGTGCCAGAATTACTTGAGTGAAATTGCCTTCTTTGAAAAAAAACCTTTAAATCTAGATTTATATTGTTATCTAACCAAGTTTATTTGATAAGATGTCGAAAACAACTTTTTTGAAGGGATATTTTGCCATCTTCCTGAAAGAATAATTTCATACTTTTTTCACAAAGATTAAAAGAAATCATTCTCCAGAGTTAGGTAGGTAGGTACTTTATTTTAGGTTAGTAGGTACTTTATCATACTTAAAATCAAAGTGCAAGTAGATAGGCTGATATTTTATTTATGCCGCACTAGAACTGCACAATGGGCTATTGGCGACGGTCTGGGAAACATCCCTGAGGATGATCCGAAGACATGCCATCTCAATTTTGATCCTCTGCTGAGGGGATGGCACAACCGCTTCGGTAGCCCAACGATCTGCACGCGGAGTCGAGCACTTTACGGTAGAACAGTTTAAGGAGGACCGATACGGTGCACCCTCGGTCCCTACCTAGGTTGATCAAAGGGATCACCCACCCGCTTACTGACCGCAGCCAGTGATGCTTGACTTAGATGAGACTTCGCTTGACTTCGACTGGGAACCGTGAAGTTAGTAAAAAATCTTTTGAACTTAAGTTCGTCACCTTACCACCAATCAAAATGAAAGCGATAACTGCGGGATAAAAATTCTATAGATACCGGATAGGCTGCCACCACAACCATTCCCATGAGTGCTATGAAACCAATGACAATGCTCGCCCTGTTCAATACGTCCGTCATTCGGTCAATTCCTTTGTTCAGTTCGGCCACAATCATGTAACGGACGAACATCGTTGATAAAGCTGCAAAAGATGGAGAAAATATTCATGGTATTAAAAAAAAATAATCAATTTCATGCTAAACAGATTTCCAAAAACAATCACAAAAAAGTGGACTGGCAAATTTTCGTGGATTTTATAATATGGAGCAGATGTTATCATTCTTTATGATCAAAGCAATTCTTTTATCATAAGCTAAACATTCTGTGTTGTTGAAAAAGATTTTTGGAGTTTAAAAACAGGCTGTTGTTGTTGTCTTAGGCCATATAAGGCAAGGGGTGCGTTTGTTCTTGTTTTCTAGTGGCGCCATCTATGGCCAAGAATTCTACTTCTGCCGCATCCATACGTCACACCCGTCTATAGGGTGGACTCATATATACACCCATTCATTCTTCCTCAAATCGTAATTTTGACCTGAACCAGAGAATGGCCCATCTCCACCAGAGGTATAATTTTTTATGGGAATATAGTGGACTTTGTGACCCGACAGATTTTACGTGCACCAGTCACCATCTACTACACTGGGAGTCTTCCACCGGCTGGATTCGGCTCCCGTTTTCACGAACGTGTGTCCAGCGCAATACCAAGCAAGCTCTCCTGGCCCCTTTAAACCGGGAAAATATTTTAGTTGACTGTGGGGAAGATATATTTTCTTTCCTTTCTTTGGATGGAAAAAAAATTTGCGGAAAAAAAATTTATGACGAATTGTTGTTTTCGTTAGAAGCCACGAGATAAAATTTTTCATAGCAAATTTTCTTTCTTTAACAAAATTAATTAAAATTTGAAGGAAAGTGGATCTAGAGTAAATCATGCAGTTTGAAATGTTGAAAAAGTATTTCAAAATATTAGAATGCAAACAAATTGCTGCAAGATTACAAAGGGAGGATCAGAATAATTTCATTCTGATTTTTCGAAAACACTTTTTTAACATTTTAAACTCCATAGTTTACTCAAGCTTTACATGAAATCTTCTTAAACTTTATTAAAATAATGGAGGAGAAAAAAAAATTGCAATGAAAAATTACTTAAGTCGGTAATAGTGTACTTTTGAAAGCTTCCTCGATGTTTTCAAAACAATGCTTTATTAAAATAAAAATTAATCCATTGTTTTCAAAACTTTTGATAATTGATTATTATTGTTATAACACAATGTCTTTCAGAAGAAAAAGGTGAAAAAAAGGCCACTTTATTAGATTTTTAAGAAAAATATCGCATGGCTATTTGAAACTTCTTTTTCTTTTCAATAATTCGTCTGAGTTGTTTTGATTAGTTTTTTGGGCTGGTGATTTAATACTGTCAGTGTATATGTAAATGAATTTTCTGAAAATGTACCTTTTTCAAGATCATTTATTTCACATTTATATCATAAATGGAAATTACCAGCTTATTTTCAATAAACTGTAACAAATAACTATAACTAAAAAAATGTTTTAACTCTTATTCAGGTTTATTATATGAAATTATGACTCAGGAAGCTCATTCATTTTTTAAATCTTAAGGTCTCCGTAAATGTGTTAAAAAACTTCCTCCTTTGAGGACAAAACGACTAAACATCAAACAATGGATTGATAGTTACTGATTGATACGTATCGATTGATGATGCGATCAGTTTTAAAACATATCAAGAATACAGATTTTTTTTTCCTATTGATCAGAAATAAGGGACATTATTTTAGAAAAATTCTTCCGATATTTTAATACAAAATTAAAAAGAAAATAATAATAAATAACAATTTATAAGAATAGAAAGTGCAAACATTTTAGTTTTCATGAAAGCGAGATTAAATTGATTCACGTCATCCAATACAAATTTATTGCATGTTTTTCAGATAAAGCAGCTATTTTCATTATAACTTTTAAATCCTAAAAAAAAAAAATTTAGAACCATGATTTTAGATTGAAATCGAAGCTCTTAAAAGTTAGTAAATCACATTGACATATTTTGTTTCTACAAGATGAAATTGAATAAAGAAATAATTTCACTATCAGTTTTTTTCTTTAAAAAAAATTGTGCAAGAGAACTGTACAAATTTTCGATGATACAGTATTATTAGACAGTCATAATACTTTTCAAAAAAAAGGAGGAAATGGGGAAGTTGCTTTTTTGATTACTCATAAATCGGTTTGATACTTTTTAGAACTTAAAACTATAAGGCAATAAAATGATGCGATGCGTGGTTTTGAATCAGGCATTTGAAACCTTACATTTGTCAGTTTTTAAATTTTTAGAAATTCATTTTTATGGCACTTTAAACTTATGATTACTGACTTGAATGATGATAAAAAAAAATTTATAACATTAATTGTACAAAAACGAAGACATTGATCAAAAGTCTCAAAACAAATAAATGTATATTATCTAACTGCCTTTCTAAAAATGTTTATTTGCTGAACTGCATTGGTATAATGTTGTCAGACAAAATGAAAGGAGAATCTGAAACGATTTTTATCACGAATTGTGATTGGACCACGGAACCATGCTTGAACATATTAAAAAGATACTGCCGAATACAATAAATATCCACCATCAGTTTATTTATGAAAATAAAGAGGATTAAAGGTGCATTTAGCATTTTGCTTAAAAGTTATGTCTGAAACCACAGCAAGGGGAAGCGGTATGAAGCAATCAAACAAAAATATTTATATTTTTTCAAATATTTTCCTTTTTTTTTTTAAGTTTAGTTTTCTTAAACTTTACGTTTTATGCCCTCTTGAAACTATGCGACCTTTTTAATACAGTCATTCATTTTATTCATTTATTTACTTACTTACTTATTTTGAAAGTTTTAATTTTTAAAAATAAAAACATTCTTAACTATTTATCTTTAAAAACAATTTGCATCAATCAAAAATAGATTTTGTTAAGTTTCACAAGAATAATAATAATAATAAATCTAACTTAAAAAAAACACCAATTCATTATTCTCATATCAATGTAATCATTGTGAAAGCCTGAATTATTTTAAGTGGCGATATTCTTCGATGAAATTTGACATTCACAAAATAACTTTGGATACATTTTTAAAAAAATTTATGTCATTATTTCGCACTTAAAAGCAAATTGTTGAAACCTGTTTATACAGATGCTGATTAAAAATGTATTTTTATCAATTTTTTTAAATACTGTCCATCCCATTAAATACTGTCCATGTAAAACAATTTTTTCGCCATCAACATTCCCAATACTGAGATTTGTCGGTGAGAGCCAAATTGGCTCAAGGAATAGAGAGCTCGTCAAGATGACCCCCAAAAAATTGTCGACACTAATCTTCGAGCATCAGAGATGAGAGTCCTTATTATCGTCAGGCTGACTGTGGGAGGTAATTGTAGTTTTTCACTCCATGTTATGCAAATGTTGGCTAGTCCCCCACAAAGGGTAGTTTGTCCCGATGCTTGATCCCGGAGCACTCTTGCCTTCCGGGTTGGGCACAAAATTATAGGACTAAGGAGTTTAGCATTAATAGTCGTAAACAGAAAAAAAATCTATTTGTTGTTCGACGCCGGTAATAAAATGAAAGTTTGAGTCCTAAAAAGTTTGCCGGTTAAAATGCTTTTTTTTAAGAGAAATAATGACATTTAAACAAAACATTTTCGTTCAACATTTATTAAATTAAATGATATGTGCGAGTGTGACATTTAAAAAAAAACATTCCTCTTGCATCGACTTTCAGCATATTTTAAACTTTCATTATAAACCTTTGAAAAATAAATCTTAAATATTTCTCACCTATTGTACTCGTAAGATAGAGGAATATACTAAATAAACCAGCTTCAGGGAATTTTCCACCCGTCTCACTATTAAAAATGAAAAATATATTTACTTAAGGAGAATATTCTTACTCAATTATTTCATTATTTATACTCACAAATATAGAAAGAGAGAAAAGACATTATTTTGTCCTAAACCTGCTCTACTTTTTTGTGTCAAGAAAAAACAAAGGTTTTTGTGTGGGTGTTTTGCATCGATTATGTGTCGACAATGATATATAAATATTCACTAATAATGCAAAAGACACTTTCAGTTTTAGGCATTTTTTAAAAATTTCTTAATAGATGCTTAAGGAATTATTTTATAACTTTGAAAACATACATTTTTACACTCTNGATATGTTGACTCAATATATATATATATATATATATAAAATTTTTTTGATAAATCTTTAATCAGTTTATTAATGACCAAAAAATGTTTGAAATGCATTGTATTGTAAAAAAATTTTACGTTCTCTTAGATAACGTAAATTTTAATGATAAATCTAAAATTTGATTAAAATCAATAGGATAGTTTCTGAGCAAACAAAACTTCAAGAAGTTCGTGTCTTTAAATGCTCGTTTCTCAAGATTTATTCAATTCATTTTGTACAAATTTCAAACTAAGTCATTCCTAAATTCCTAAATTCAAATTTTTAATTACTTGAGTATTCTTAATTTTCTAAAGTTTTTGAATTATGTAATAATATTTTACATAATCGCGAAAAAGTATTTTTCAAGGAATCTCTTTCGGTTAAGTTAGTCTCATAAATGTGTTCAAAGTATTTAATTTTACTTTTTAATAGATAAATACGCTATTTTCAAAAACTAAATTAACAATCCAAAAATTCAACTTAATGTTCTTACTTTTTATTAGCAAAAAAAATTGCAATGTTATTTTAAAACAATCAAAAGATTTTAAAGAGAGAGAGATTTTTCAATATAACTAGACTCCCACGTTCAATTTCAAATATTTCTTTAAAAGTGAAAGAGTGCACAGAGCAGTACTGACCAGTATTACTCTCCAAATCAAAAAATATTAAAGGGTTAGCGCAAAATATTGAAAATGATCACATACTTAGAGACACATCGGTTCAAAAATTTAAAAATACACTTATGACATATTTTCCAAAAATACATTCAATTTTACCTAACTCAATCACTCAGCCCAACCCTGCTTCAATCATTGAGGTGTAAGTGGCAAAGTTTAAACATAGAACCCTCCTTTTTTTTTCATTGCAGTTTTGAATTCTGCAGAAAAAAGTACTCAAACTGAAATATACAAGTTTTTGCGTTTCCGTTTTGAAATATCGCTGTTGCCACAAAAGGAAAAGTAAGTCCATATTGTTTAAAATGGGAGGCTGGTGATCAAATTTCATATAATTGAATGCATGTTTTGAAATTTTTTCAGATACATATTTTTAAATTTTCGATCCAAGGAGAACTTTTTAACTCTTATCTTACATGCTTTGGATACTCTGTGCATGCCATGTTTCCATGTCTATTTCTTTTTTACTTTTTTTTAAATTTAGGAACCACCGAATTCCGTTGCATTTCATTGCCAACAGAACTGCCATAGTCAGGAACTGAAGTTCCATCTCCAACGGAGACTTGAAGCCCATCCAGCTACACATCGATTGGTGACAGTTTGTCTGAGAAGTAAAGGTGGCTTGTGCGCTGTACTGCTCATTTTCTCTTAAAAGCTGAAGTTATCTTTTGATCGAATAAACTATGAGTACATACCTGATAAAAGGCACATATGGACTGACATCATTTCTAAGGACTGCAACGATGTAGCATGTGATTAAGCCTAAGGAACATATAACACCCATCGTCATGGGAACATAGTTGAGTTTCAAGCAGGACCAGGGAGACGACATTTTCACCCCCTAAGCGGCGACAACATTCATTAAATACAATATTTTTTATAGTCAAAGATATGTCATTCATTCGAAGAAAGAATATCATTTTTAGATTTATAAGCTATGAACTAAATACAAACATTGTTGCAATTTAAAATAATCATCTTTTCTCATTATTTTGTTATTGGAGAAGGTGCTTAATGACGAACAAGTTCATCCTAAGAGTGGAAACCTTGAGAAACAAGTTTCGAAGATTATACGTCACGGAGCTTTCTCTCGCACATGTTTGATCTTTTTAATTTCATGAAGGATAAAATATTTTTTTCATTATATAACTTTAACTGAATGTATTTTCACCATCAAAAATCTATCATTAACTATTCGATTTTTTTTAATCTATAAAATGATAAAATTAAAAAGTGATGCATAGGAGAAGAAAAAAAAGTGATTTGGGATTTATTTGGTATGAAACGACAATCCACTTTCATCATACGTAGATAAAATGAGGAAAAAAGATATCGAAGGAATAAAAAAGGATAATTATTCAAAATTTTAGTCACATCCAGAAGCAATCCATTATTTGGTAAGAAAACTTACTTTTTGTGTTGTCCTAAGACTCCGTTGCCCTTTTTTTAAATTTCATTTATTTACACTTTGTGATGATTTATAAAAACATACGAGAACAGATAAAACTCACAATAATAATTTTTTTTCCAATGCCCTCCTTTGGGATGACCCTTTCGTCATGCAGGCATCTGAAGGACAGATTTCTTGACCACTCTATCAAGGGCACCCTATAAGGTGGGCCAACGTTGCTCCCACTTGAAGGACAGATATTACAGAGAATGAAGGAACATCTATGCCTTGCCGGGGATTTGAATCCAGAACCTTTCTAATGCAAGGCCTGTTCCCCTACCCCTACACAAGGCCGGTCGGCATAAAAAAATTGTTAAAAGATGTAAATATTCCAACTGTCGAAACTATTGTCCTATTGTTTACACCAAGCTCTGGTGCTCAAATTTAATTTTGGAAAAATATCATTAAAATGTTTGATTTGAATAATAAAAAATTAAAATAATTACGAAATTAAATAAAATACAAAAGGGAAAATAAATTTCACTTTTATCGAACTAAAAGAGGAGACGTTAGGCGCTTTTGACAAAATCATTGGAAAATTTTCAGAGATGATAAAAGTTAGCCACGAAAATGAAGTACCTTTCGTATTTCACATTAGTTTTTGCAACAAAAAAAATTTATAATTATAATCACAATGTACATTTTAGTCTAATTTTTATTACTTTTTTTCTCATCGTTTTGTGTCTGTTATTTTTTCTTTTACGCCGGAAAGAGTTCGAAACTTTAAGTAGTGACACACTCGTTCTTGAGATAGTATAGTTATAAATTCTGCTTGTACCGGTCAGGAAGCGATTAAAACTTTTTCCAGTACAGAGCTTCAGATGGGATTTCAGCTCTCTAGCTAGATAGAAAGAAGTCAAGATTTCTAGAACAAGATTCCTTTTGGCAAGGACGCAAAAGCGAAGTCAATTAAAACGTGTTGAAATGAGATATTTGGCAAATAAGACTTGGAAAAAGCAGTATTAAATTCAAATTTCTCTCACTCCTCTACTTGTTTAAGAGATGATTTAGATATCCTTTCATTTTTGTTTACAGAGACTTATTCATAATTAAAATGTAAATGTGGAATTTCATTAAAATATACACACCTTTCCAAAATTATATATTTGTAAAATAAACTAAACTAAGCTAAACTCAGTGGCGCGACAGCCCATAGAGGGCCAAGGCCTACTGTGCCCATCTCAGTTTTCTTGACCTTGGGCTCTGGGGTGCAGGAGCAGATGTTCCGATTAGGTGATCAGTCGAAAGCGGAATNAAGCTAAACTCAGTGGCGCGACAGCCCATAGAGGGCCAAGGCCTACTGTGCCCATCTCAGTTTTCTTGACCTTGGGCTCTGGGGTGCAGGAGCAGATGTTCCGATTAGGTGGTCAGTCGAACGCGGAATCCCCAGTGTTTAGTTCCCAATCATGCTTGGTACTCATTTATCGACCCATTGAAGGGATGAAAGGCTGAGTCAACCTTGCCCGGCCAGAGGATTGAACCCAGGACCTGTGGCACGGGAGCGCGAAGCGTTACCACTCAGCCACCGGGCACATTTGTAAAATAATAAATATTAATCACCTTAAAATTTAAAAATTTTTAAATTCGTCCCAAAGCAGTTTTTTTACATTAGAAGTGCAGTAGGGGTCATTTTGACCGGTTATTGCAATTTATTGAGTTGTTTTTGATAAAGCACGTGAGATTCGAAGATAATTTTTTTTTTTTACTTTTCCTATACAGTTTCTAATTATACTGTATAAAAATTTCATGACTTTATGTGGATTAGTAAAGTAAATAATCATAGAAATGCATGAAACTACCATAAAGGGTCATTTGGAGCCTCATTTTTGGTAGTTTACGTCTGTTTTTGGTTTTGCCAAAGTATAAACTTTAGAAAGATGATTTGTAGAACAGAAATTAAGAGAAATTAGTAATAAAAATAACCAGCATTAATTTCCGTTAAGTTATATGATTACTCACTTCGTTTAAAATTATGTACAGGTTGATTATAAGCAGTTATTTTTGTTATAATCTTTAACAAAAAATAATTGTTTGTGAACAGTTATTGCTTAGTAAATTGAAATGCAAATTTATCGAATAGCGAAGAAGCCGCTCAACTTTGACTTTTTTTTTAAAAAAAAAAAAAATTCTTTTCTTAATTGTTGCAAAATTAAAAAAAAAGACGACTGACTGAATTACAANATTGCTTAGTAAATTGAAATGCAAATTTATCGAATAGCGAAGAAGCCGCTCAACTTTGATTTTTTTTCAAAAAAAAATTCTTTTCTTAATTGTTGCAAAATTAAAAAAAAAGACGACTGACTGAATTACAACTAGGGGAAAGTATAGTGTTCTAATTATGGAACAACGCCTAAACTCCTGTACTATGAGTACAGTACAGACGATAGGATAGAACATCTGAAGAAAAGACGCAGCAAAAAGAAACAAAACATAGATGCAAAAGAAAGTGAAAGCCATTATTCTGTATAATATTAACACGTAAGTTTTCGCAGGCGACAGCACTGAATAGAAGCCTGTCACTTACCTCATTCGTACGAAATGTGACCTACACTTAGCGGACTAAATACTGAGGAATTATTTCCACAAGATGTGAAACTTGCAGGGGGTTAGTATGTTTTTACAACGTTTGTTGAATTGCTGTCCTCAATTCTCAAATAGCTTTCAACTAATCCTTTGTCATTCCAATTACGAATTGCAAATTCATTCCTTTTATTAGTTCGAGGACCACGAATTAATATTTTGCACATTAGATGGTCTCTGATCTAAAATCAAGTAAATATTCTTTTTAATAAAAGAAAGAAGGTTAAAATTCTTGATAAAGATGATAAAAACCAATTTGTTGTATATTCGCATGGCTACACTGTATGCATACGCTAATGTCTAACTAATAACGTCATTTCAAAACATGTTGGGTGCTCTAGCGTATAATTTGTTTATTTCTTGAGAACACGTGAATGAGTAATCTGAAACACAATATGACACTGTTAGTGACTCCTAGAAAAAAATGGTTGAATAACAATTTATTTAATTGTTATTTCACCAAATTCAAACAAAACAGTGAAATAAACTGAGATAAGTTGGTATGCAAATTGTTACATAACAGAAAAACCGTTTGTTAACTGCGTATAGGGTTAAACAACCAGAATTTCATCACACCAACTAGGCCCACCCCATAAAGCAGACGGGAACACTATATAGCAGAGATGGCCAATCTGTCAAAATGCTAATCAGTCAAAGTCCGTTAGAACGGGTATTCCCCCCCTCCCCGTGCAATAGAAAAATCGTCGTAAGCGACAAAAAATTCAAAATAGAGATTTTTATATATTTGGCATCTACACCCTTGTGCAAATTAATTGAAACAAACTTTTTTTTTCGTGCTTTTTAAAGAAGATGTTTTGGGGTTGTTTCAGTTACAATGGGGTTGGACTTTTGCAGCCTATTGACGGTATGATGCGTTCTGAGCAGTACATTACTATTCTTGGTAAAAAAGTTGTTCCAGAGTTGAAGAAACGATACCCTGATGGAACAGGGATTTTTCAACAGGATTTAGCTCCTTGCCATACATCCAAAATTGTCAAGAAATTCATGTCTGAGAATCAAATTGAGACATTGGAATGGCCAGGGAACTCTCCGGATATCAACCCAAGTGAGAGTCTCTGGGCCATATGCCAGAATCGCCTATTAAATATGGACTGTACAACTATGGAGAAGCTAATCACGGCGTTAATTCATGTGTGGTACAAGGGCACAAGTATTATAAATGACTGTAAAAAATTAGTGGAATCCACGCCGAATCGTGTCCAAATGTTAATAAAGTGTCGTGGAGATCATATTATGTACTAAAAATTTTTAAGTTTGTATAAATTTAAATAAAATAGCATTTTCTCTTAGTTTTCTGAATTTATTGAGTTTGTTTCAATTAATTTGTACAAGGGTGTATCTATGACACATTGCAAAAAAAGTTTTTCAACTAGAAGTTTTGTTCTATCAGTTCCATTTTAGCGATCATATCATTCGTAATAGAAAAATAGGCGTCGAGTCTCGAAATCTATCGTTCACTTACGTTGTTTTTTTTCAATTGCGGTTTTCGAATCCTAGCGTTGACACCTTTCCGTATATGAAGAGTGTCCTACATTCCTCAATTTGTAACCCTAGACTATTTGAATGCGATACTCACGCATAGGTGGCAGCACCATAAGGCTGCAAAATTATCTCCAAATGCCTAATTAAAGTTAAATTTCTTTTTTACTGTTTTGAAATCATGCTAGTTGTAACCGTACAGGTTGGTATTCATGATTTTTTACCCAAAGTAGTTGTACATGGTTTCGAAACCGTAAAGGAAGAAAAAGTTCTTTACCGTAAAGTTCATGGTTGATAGGATGGACAGACTGAGACCGGTTATTTCAGCATTATTTTAGAACGAAAATTTTAACAGTGTAATGACTATATGTCTTTACAGTAATCAATTAAAGAAGAACGAAAATTTAATCTCTAAAAATTCCTCCATGCTGTATTTTTAACACTATATTCTTCAATTAATTTTTTTTTTCCTTGAAATGATTTTAATTTCCTAGGAGGGTCAAACTGAACCTAAGCTCAGCTGCTCTACTGTTATAACACTTGTACCCATTTACCATTTTTTTAATACCTTAAAAATACAAAGAACAAACAATTTTACAGTCATTGCGAGTTAGTTTATACTGAGCTGGAGTTCAAAAAATAAAATATACTTTAAAAATAAATACATTACCTAACAATACACACTCCACCCGCAATCTCAAATAATTCATTTATGTACGTTTTTTATTATATTTTTGCAAGTATATTTATCTTCTTTTTTTCTGAAATTGCATCACGAACTTTTTCACTCCGATAGTCTTATCTTATCAGATAACTTTTTTTCTTACCTTAATAATAATTATTATTATTTTAATCAGTTATTGTAAAGCACGTGTTTTTCATCTTTTTATGTCCTCCATTTTTAACGGTCTAAAATGCGGTTTTTTTTTGTTTTTTTTTGAAGCATTGCTCTATACAAAAACATTTCATTTCGATTTATTGATAGAGTCTGATTAAATAGATAATTTAAATTTCTGACGAATTGGATCAAAGTACACTGTGAGAAATGGATACTTAAATTTCACGAAACTCTCTTCATTTTTAACGAAACCGTCTCCTGTTAAATGATATGAATGAACATTTCGACAGTGACGTAATAACTATCGTCACTTCTTTAAGGAAACGAATTTCGTGGAAAATAAAGAAGTATTTCGTCTATCTATTTCTCTTAACGCCTCGTGGAGTCCAACTGGTATGATTATCTATTGTTGTTGCGTGGGCACCAATGTTGATAGAAACGGTATCGGAACCTCGTTTCTAGTCTCACAAATACACTGAGATGAAGTTTCGAGTTGAGGAACATTTTGGTCATGTATCTAAGAGTTCGCGTTTTTATCAAATCACGTGATTTCGTGACGAAAGGATTATCAAAATGAACGACAGCTCAAAGATTGCCGAATCGTCAAAAGTGAAAGTTTTATTTCTAATAGTGTATTTGACATTTGTGTTGATATTGAAAGCAATTTTGATGCAGTTTTAATTTTGTAAGTTAAAATATAGTTGTTTTTATTTATATGTGAGGGAATTAGATGCATATTTCTATTTTATGGCTAAAGAATGAAAGTGACCTCCGGTGATTAGCCCAACAGCTCTTAAAAGGAGTATTCTAATTGGTTCGACTATCATTGAGATTTTTTCCCTTTATTTATATGCTTGCAGATCTGACATATTAATTTTTTTATAACATTCGGACAGCCGACCTAATTTTGGGTTTGCGACTACTAATGTTCAACTCCGTAAAATTGTGAAAAATTGTTAAAGAAAAATGTAATTGAGAGGAAACAAAAGTAAACGAAGTAAATTTAAGATTAAAAAAATTTATTATTTCAATTTAAAATAGTTTAAGTTTAAATATTAGAAATAATTCAATAACATATTCTAAAAAAAGAATGGGAAAAAATCATGTTCCATTAATATTCTTAATCTCCGTTACTACACTTGTTATTAAATTCACATTTCTTATACTATGAATCAATCGTTTCGGGCCATTCACGATTTACTTATTCACACAGACTGAATATTATAAAAATCGGTATGATTTAGGGAGCAAGTGGTACGAATTTGATAACCAGTTTCCTAAATCATACCACTGGTAGGCTTAAAACAATTCTTTCTTAGTAATTATTGACAAATATTGTTACCAAAAAAATAATTTAAGTAAGTGATTCACTGCTTTTTATTATTATGTTATTTCAAATATAATGTTATATTATTTCAAATAAAGATTTAGGTTACTTTACTATTTGTAAGTCCAACGCAAAACAGATAAATATAAACTCATTATATATATATATACAACAACAAGATAAATAAATACAAAAAANAAAAAAAAAAAAAAAAAAAAAAAAAAAAAAAAAAAAAAAAAAAAAAAAAAAACACGAAGAAAATTAAGAAAAACAATAAGTTTTTTCCCCCTTTTTTCATATGTCTGTAATTTTACTTTGTTTTATCTTCATTTTGAGCTTATATATATATATATATTAAAAAATTATACATTACCGTTCAGGAAATGAGATGGTAGTTATATTTTTCAACTGTTAAATCCTTTGATATGTTTAAAAGGTGTAAACATTTCCCGAATAATCGCAAATTATTTCCTTTTCTTTTGCAATGACTGATTTGAGTTTGAAATAGTTAAAGAACTGTTGAGCCAAAATAATAGAGATATCATTGCTATCTTCATTTTTATATAACAATGATAAACGTCATTAAAATATTTAATCACCGCGGAAATGGCATCAAGATAAATTTTAGTTGATACTGCGTGAAATGAGGGAGAGAAAAAAAAAACAATTGTTTGAAAATAATCATTTTGTTTTAAATATGATTGTGTCATTGTTTACAATGACTTCTCGAGAGAGATTAGAATCGATCTTCCATCCAATTTAGAACAGTTGTTATTTTGTTAAGAGACCTTTCCTCTCCTCCAACAAACTCATCTGTCAAGGGGGTGGAGAAGGGGTGGGAAAATTCAACATTTAATCAGCGGTCGGAGAAACTATATTTTCGTTGTAGTTAACTACAACTTCCTTTTCTTAAAAAAAATATAGCGACAACAAACTACTTTCGAAATGTAGTCACTACTTCACTACTTTTAGAAGAAAAACTTAACTGGAGAACTTAATTTTCACCAATATTTAAAATGATTTTGAATTTAAAAAATTGGCTTGGTTAAATGTGAGGAGTTATTAAGAAGTTTTAACTCATGTTTACACGAAATAGTTTTTTATTCTAATGCACTTGTTACGAATTTGTTCCTTTAATCTTCAAGCTATATGCTTTTCTCAACAGTAAATATTTAATGTAAGAAATTATCAAATATTTGTCATTTAAGTGAATGCTTTTTTATATCATTCAAGAAATAAAATACAGTGTTAGAAACCAAAAACGGACCACCCTGAATTACTTTTCATCTAAGGATCGGATCTTCACTTTCTGGAACTCAATCTTAATAGTTTGAAGGGGGTAACCTCAACTATGCTAGTTAATTAAAGCATACGATATTTTAAGTTACGAAATTAGACACAAAAACGTACTTTATAGTTTCTGTGAAATCGAATTTCAAAAAAATCATACATTTAAAATTTGATTTATCAGGAACAATTCGACCGATTTTGTATTGATCTTTCCGAGCATCAGACGTAAATCTTATTAACGCTCGGCAACAGAAACATTCGAATTGCCTGCGTTGACAGGCCCCGCGAAGGATTTACGTTTGAAAAATATTTTGCTTTCGAACTTTGTTTCTATATTTAACTAACGTTAAAAGTAGTTACCACGAATCGCTATAAACTACTGTTTTCTTTTCGCACTACTGACTAAACTACTTCTTTCAAAAAGTACAGCACTATACTGCAAACTACGGAAGAAAAAATTGGGACGACAGTAGTTTTCGCTACATGAAGCGCGTTACTTCAGCCCAATAAAGTGATGATGAAGCAAATAAAGTGATGATGAAGCTCTTTCGATACATATTATAATAATTATAATATGTAATATATATATCTAATATAATTATAAACATTTTCCATAATGAGGGTTTTAGATTTAACTGCATCCTTTAAATTGTCTTCTTTTTTCTTTTTTTTTTTAAATGCTTGTTTTGGTGGAAAAGGAAGTGTTCTTTCACACACCGTCGAATTCGGAGTAGCATTTTGCAGTGTAAGATTTATCAGCAATTTATCTCTCCTCCTCTTTTCAACACTTTTTTATCTTCAATTCAACAAAATACAGATTTGATAACTAAAATATGCTATTAAAATCTTCATTGGTAAAATAGTTCATTTAACGCTATTGCGGTATAAATTCTATTAGACACTTTCGCATTTGAACCTTAGGCTTGTAATTTTGTAGATAGTATTTTATTGTTCTTGCATTTTTAATGTGTGCGTTATATACATCATTCATTGTGATTCTTTTTTCCGATTCTTCTAACCCTTTATAAGAAGAAAGTCTCAAATAATTGAAAAGCGATAAATTCTCACCACATGCAACGTGATGCCAACATATATCTCATTCAATAGCTAAATCAAGTTTAAAAAATTTAGACCACATCTTCAAACGATATTAAAAAAAGAAAACTGATCAAAGAGCATTCTTTCCAGATAATAAAAAAAAAGGAAAAAGAAATTGACCTCACCAACCTTTAAGAGCACCCACATAAAAGCTAGCCTTATTCTTCCAATCTTTTATATAAAAAGTTTTGGTTCTAAACACCCCCTCCGGGCATTGGGCGAGAGGCATTTTAGAAATGTTTTGTAGAGTCTTCAAACGACAATTGACATTCGTCAGTTGGCAGCACTCTGGTATTATTATTATTATTATCGTCTGCGAAATATGATGCAAAGAATGGGGTATTTGAATGAGGGAAAAAAAATTCTTTGTTGACATTTTAGCGAATTCTTGTCGAGTTAAATTTTTGTTCGATTCTTATGTTGAAAGGAAAAGAAATACGTTGATGATTTTATTATACTCGACTCTTTTGTAAAAAGGTCTTAAAGAATTTTAAATAGAATAAACTGCGTCATCGATGCAAAATTGTCCTCTTAACCTTACCCACCAATCACATTCAAAATACTTTTTTTTTCACTCATTTTTGCATAATTCGCTTAAAATCTACCCAGAACGTTAAAAAATAAAAAAAATCAGAATATGACAGAAGTAATGATAATACAGTAGAGTCCCGATTATCCGAGTTTCCGCTTTAACCGAGTTATCAAATATTTCAAAGAATTGTTTTTGCTTTAGTTTATTTTTTATTTTTAAAACTACCGCCAAAAAAATTCTGAATTTTATCTTGCAAACATTTAGGAAAACAAGCTGACGGACGACACGAAATTACTGAGGAAATGATCGTTTATATCGTCAATAATGAAAATGAATCTAGCAAAGATGATGAAGACAGTGACGATAAAAATCAACCTATAAAAATCTCTCATACAGATGAACTAAACGCTATCGAAAGTGCAATTGAATATATAGAACAACAAAAAGAGGTGACACTAGCCTTCTTATTATCCATAAAAAATAGCGAAACATGGCGAAACAATAGCCGCAGAAAAGCGCCAAAGTAAAGTAAAACACAAAACGATTAAGTAAAAACTCTTTCGTTCTCGTAATATTTTTAAGTGTTTTTAAGAAAGTTTTTAAATTATTATTAATAATTCATTATTAATAATATAATTATATAATAATAATATTTATTCCTTTTATCAGAGGAGCGAGATGTCATAGAAACTTTTCTTCCAATCAAATTTAATCAGTTACCTATAATATTCAAATTGGACCTCGTATTATATTACCGGGTAATAATGTACCCTACCAGAGGAAATGATTATAAGCTTATTAGGGGGGTACACAATGCGGTCCTATAGGTTACAATGTATATATATAATTAATAGCGTTTAAACGAGGGAATTCGAAGTCAATATTCTGTATAAAAATATNATAATAATAATATTTATTCCTTTTATCAGAGGAGCGAGATGTCATAGAAACTTCAAATTTCATCAATTACCTATAATATTCAAATTGTACCTCGTATTATATTACCGGGTAATAGTGTACCCCACCAGAGGAAATAATTATAAGCTTATTAGGGGGTGGTCCTATAGGTTACAATGTATATATATATAATTAATAGCGTTTAAACGAGGAAATTCGAAGTCAATATTCTGTATAAAAATGAAATTCTAAAAAATCATCGGATTGCTTTGCAGGAGTGTTTGCATAATTAGTACACGATCTTTTATGAAACTGGCTGAGTTAAAAATGAGTTAAATTTTAGAAAGGTTGACTTATACTTTTTTTGGTTTATTTATTGCAGGAGCTATTTAAGCTTAAAATAAATAGCAAAAATTATTATTTTAGCTTGAATTTTTTATTTTATAAGTCGAAAAGTGCCTAAAAAGTGTCAAAATTTGATGTATATGCAAAACAAATTGATATTTTCTAATTCTGTAAAGTGTTAAAGAATTAGAAACCACTGTTGCCGGGAATGAACCACTTATAGCTCTGTTATTCAATATTTTAAAAATTAGCAACCATTTTAAAAAAGTAACGGATAAAAATGTTACAAACCAGAAACTTTTTTTTCAAGATAACTCCTACAAAATGTGAGAAAATCAATTTAGAACCAAAAACATGGTTCATTCCCTAGAACCATATAATACGAATGCACAAAAATCTAATGAAAAGTTTGAAGAGTTGAAAAGTTGAAAGCAGAATGACTTCAAAGCATGTTAATATTTTTTAATATTATTTGTGCTTGAAATGATTTTGAAACACTAAATCAAGCACTGAACTATGGTGAAACATTTAAAAAGAACATTTTTCAGTGTTTGAAAATCTGAGCGATAAGATTTTTTCTTGTTTTGTTTGCTTCGATAATTCATAAAAATGCTTTTACATTGATTTATGTATGGTTTTTTCTTTTTTAAAATTCTTTTTGAGTGCATTGAAAAATTCAAGAAATAATTATAAAAAGTTATTGAGTAACTGTATTTTACTATGAAAATAAAAACGATGAAAACACATTCAAAAAAGTTCTAAGGCACTTTGATAAAGTGAAATGCAAAAACAAATTGAAAAACATTTCACATTATATCTATGATTATACCTAATGATATTCAATGTTATATGCACGTATATTAATTTCTAGAAAAAAGAATGAAATAAAAATTGAAATTCATACATTGAAAATATTCATGTAAATAAAAAAATTTATGCAGCAGTAATAAAAATTTTGAAAGGAAATGGTTTTGTCCAACGGTGTTGTGTATGCATGGAAAGAATATGCATTCATGCACTGGGTTATACTATGTAGAATTTGATAATCAGAACATTAGAAACATCCAAATGCTTATTTATTTTTGTAAAACTTGTAGACGTTTCAAGATTTGTTTGCAACTTTTGTGATGAAAACTGATTTCCTTGGAAGCGACGTTTTCGTTTTCTGGCGATAGATTTTCCCATAATTGGAAAGTAATAACAAGAAATAACGGCAATAAAACAAAATATAACGATAATAAAACTAAGTAACACAACAGTAAAATAAAATTTAACAAGTAATTATCAAAAATAAAAGTAATTGAAAGGTAACTAATTCAAAAGGCTATCGCAAGTTTAAAAATAAACAAGGATCTGATTATTGACTTTGTTGCCAGATCA